CTGAACTTTTGAAAATAAGTCTTCAGTATTGAATGTTCTCAGCTAAGTCTCTGAGAAACTGAATGTCAACATAAATGTCAAATTCTGATTCTAATAAAGTCAGCAGATATTTTTCCAGTAACTCCCAATGGGCCAAAATTTGCCTATTAGGACCAAGTTCTATGCATTTACCCCAGTTTAAATATAGGGTAATTCCACTGATTTCAGGGGATCTAGCCTGGATTTTCTAGTAAAATGGAAGGGTATGCTGAGGAGTGTTTCTAAGGGAAAGAAGAGGAGGTTTATGGCTGCAATATATTTGTATAGGGTATCCAGGCATGATTTAACCCAGAAGGATAGCTGACTAGCCACAGAGGCTTGTTCATTTTTCTCTCTGCTGAAATTCTACAGCTTTTTGCCTAAGATTTGCTCTTTTCATAACATTTCCTTGGGTTTTCAAGGCGGTTTGTACACAAAGTAATACAGCACTTGTTCACAGGGGTTGCTTTGGCCTTAATTTGGGATGGTCCAGTTTGACCAACAGCACGATGCTATATACTCACAAGTCTCTTCCTACATGGCCCATGCAATATTATACCTTGTTAAAATTATCTTGGATATACTGTTTAGAATGAAAATGCTTTGGAAGTAAATATAATTAAGGGTAACATAAATGTGTTCTAGGTGTTTGAAACAGGTTGGCAATGGAAAGCACCTAATGGTTTCAGTACCCAGATCCATTTGTTTCTTGTTATAAGTCTTCCAAGTCCAGCCTGTTATACTGAAAGCTCATTCAACAAAGCAAACTGACAACTTGGTTTATTTTAACAACTTGTTGGAAGTGCAAGGACTTTCTGTGAACCTATTCACAAGCTATTCTGTCTGAAATAAATTCTACTTATTTTTTTTATATGAAGGGCACTATAGAAACAAATAGTGGGAATGACAACTACCTATGCAATTATGGAGGTAATGCATTATGCTTGATCTTATGATGTGTGCTCCTCAGCCTTCCGAATCCTGTGGAAGAGGTTCATCAAACTTAGAGAGGGGTTCAAAATGCCCCTTGATTTATACTACTAACACAGTGCCACAAGCCGTTTTACGGAGGAAGATAAAGTTCTCAGCAGGGACTCAGTCTCTGGTGCCTGTGTGTTTTTATGTGAATTAATGATGTCATAGAATCATAGAGAAGTTGGGCTGGAAGGGACCTCCAGAGCTCACCTAGTCCAACTGCCTGCCTGGGACTGGATCACCCTTATCCAAACCATCCTATTATACAAATCCATAACCTAACTTCTTAGTCAAATGACTGTCACTAAGTTCAAGTCAGTGGTGTAATTCAAGCAGAAAATCATGTCTTCAGTAGGGCTCTGTGTGCATGAAGTACAGCCTGTGGGGATCACACTGCAGAAGGGAGGCTTCACTAAAATGTGACACTTCACGTAGCCATCAGGACGCAGTGAGGAAAGGACTGAGAAAGAATAGCATGACAATGAGCCAAGGTCCTCTTGCCATCCTACTAGAACATAAGAACTGCCATTTACTGGGTCAGCCTAAAAGTCCAGTCTCCAGTGGCATACAGGGGTGTCCTCAGCCAGAGCTGCCACAACTCTTGTGCTCTACCTGAACAGGAAGGAGGCAATGGCTGCGGTGTTGCAGGGCCATTTTCCTGTCCCTGGTCTATTTGCATCTCTGGGCAGTTTCACTGGGCAGTGTCCACTGGCTCCTCAGAAGTATTTGGCTGTGTCACACCAAAGGCCTGTGTCCCACCCTGGCAGAGAGTGGCTGCTTTCAAGGAAGAATGAACTGGGTCTCACCAGGGCATTCCCCCCCTCCCTCTCCCAATCGCAGCCTTAGCTCTACACCTCAGGCCTGGCCTGGTACCGTTTCAAGGGCCTTGGGCTCTTGAGGAGACCAAAGAGAAAGCTCCTGCCGCCTCCCACTTTTTGCCTCCCAAGGCCAGGGCCACCACGCTCCCCTGCAGGTCTCCAAACCAGCAGGGACCTGAAGAGCAAGGGCAGCAGCAAAAGCCCTGCCGGGAAGCAAGTCCCCCCACTTCTGCCTTCACCCGTCACACGCGGCCCTCTGTCCTCTCATCCCACCCACACTTTTCACCTCGCCCTTCCGGCACGGCCCCTGCCCCGCGCCACTGAAGGGAGCGGGGGGG